CAATTAAAAATACTAATTCGTAGTAGAACCCTACCGTCACAAAAAAACGTAATAAGAATTTAAAATGTTATACCTAACATTATTTTTTTTCATCACAGACAACCAAATGAAGAAAAACTCGCAAAGGGCCGTCGCGCTGTTGATAACAGTTAAATATACTCATATTTGTTTTTAATTGTGTGTGTGCGTGTGTGTTAATATTCCTATTATTTATTTCAGTCAGTAAAAATGAGACCATACAAGTTATTAAATATGTGTTACAATGGTATTAGGTATTATATTCGTCAAAATCTATCTGTCTGATTCACAAACCAGTTGTTCTCAAACTCCCTTCACCTAGAAGGTTCGTCTATTATGGAATGAATTGTGGAACACTTGCAGGAATCAACTTATTTTCTTCCACCTAATGAAAGTTTATACCTTTAGAGAACCAAGGATTATTGCGGTATACAGATGTTCTATTAGCACCATGTGTGTATAATGGGATGCATGTTTCAGCTCAACGTGAATTTGATCCTGTGGCGTACACGACAGTGAGCGGCTTTTGCTACACAAAATGTTTAGCTGTTAAACACGCGTTGAGAGGCTTTGCTTACTTGCGATTACTCAGATAAACTTTAATAGGATTACGCGATGCGTCGTATAAAGTACTACTTTACAAACTTTTCGAACTTGACGAAATATTATCTGAAAATTTCCAACATCGTGCGAATGCAAGAAGAAAACTAGTTTTAAATAGTTTCGCCTTCAAAATGTTTTGTTTTTGTGTCGCCAAGCATTTATTTACAGGTTTGTTTGAAGAGATCTTTAATTAAGGTTTTAAAGTGAAAGTACCCATCATTGACCAAATTCATTTTTAAATGTTTTTTATTCAACATTTGACTGTATATCTAATATGTGTTTTGTTTTATTATACCTAATATTATAGCTATGACTAGCCATATTTGTAAAATATATTCAAAACGCTTCTCATCGAAGTATGTATTGGTCAGACATCCACGTTCTGCGCACCAGGGCCGAACATATAAATGGCCTAAATGCGGGAAAATGTTTAAGAACTGATAGTATAATGGGATATTGGGTCATTTAGCTGCTTTTGATTTATAGTTGGACGCGTTTCATCTTAAAATCATTGTAATCTTCGCAAATATTAAAATTAGAAACGATCAAAAAGTGAAACACGAATAGAAAAGACTTCCTGTAGGCTGCAATAACATTACACCGTCATGCCTTCAGAATACTAAAACTAGCTATTAAGCGACCACTTGTTGGCAGAAAAAAAAAGGATCGAGAACAATGGGCAGATAGAATTATAGACTCGCCGTGCGTGCATTAAAACTCGGATTTCGTCTGGCTTTACAGCCATGATTTTGGACCTGTTCTTTGTATTTATAAATATATACAATTGCAATACACGTATTCGTAACGATGAGTATGTATGTCTTCGAAAACAACTAGAAGTATAATATTAAACAGTACCGAGAGACATTGTCAAATGGAAGACACACAAGCAAAAATGGAAGGCACACAAGCAAAAATTCCGAAACTCTTCACTCAAATCAGTCGATAAACCTCTGATTTAACAATGACACAGCGGGAAGAGCAAGATTAAAAAAAGATGCACTGAGAAAAGGTTGTTGACGACAGAACCTCCTGATTTACACGTAACACAATCGAAAATTAAACATACTGAGACGAATAATACTTTTGACTTTGCAACTACAAACTGACGTCAAATGAAAAAGAAATCCAGAATAACAACACAGTTTCAGTTAAAGATTAACATGTCGCTGAATCAACAGCTAACTGTTCAAAAAACGGTGTCAACCCGCCGAGAAGTGTGAAACTAAGAAACGTACGAATCACACCACTGAAATATGGTTCTCAATTCTGAAAGAATAGATGAAGTATGTGAAAATTTGAACTGTCGAGTCGCAGAAGTTTACATACGTCACTGGGCGTCGATTTTTGTGAGTCAAATATGTTTTGCCATGTAATTTTCTCTTCTTGGGTCAACAAGTGGGAGGATAGTGATAATGAGGAAGATTAGCCTTCTGCACCGCGCCGAAGTATATGACGACCTTAGCACTTAGGTGACTGGAGATAAAATATACCGACTGATCAGATGCTACAGACAATTATGAAACTGGCCATGTTCTTTTCAATATGTTTCGGGATTCCAAACCCGTATTAAAGATTTTACCCCAAAATGTACTGAGCCAATTCATATATTTTTCAAGCTTTTTAAAAGAGATCTTTAATCTGAAGCGGCCTTATAGTGAAGATACCATGCCTAACATGAGTGTTCATAGAATTATAAATATTCATAACTTACTTAAAATGAATCGTACTCCTCATTTCCTATATTTGATTCGTGAATACGGATCATGGTGCCGTTTTAGGAATAAAAGCAATATTTAAAGATGAACCTGATATGACATTAAATGAAATTATTTTGATAACCCGTGCCCGAGTGTTCCATCACTATAATTGACAAAATTCATTACTTATCGATCTTGAGATAGGTAAGTAGGTTGATAGGCGAGTATGTTGTCTGTCTGTTAGATGCACGCGATATCTCAAGAAAGCGAGGTTTATTCTCCACCAAATTTTGCATGTGCGTTCATCATGTCTCGGACCAGCAAGGTATTTATTTTGGTCGAATTATGTCTTATAATTAGGGAGCTATTAGTTAATTAGTGATGGGACACGCGGTGTCACTATAGAGTCGTGAATCGAAACCGCAGTTTCGATCGATAAGTCTTCGGTCTCCGACCGATATTCTCGTTTAAGTGTTGCTACAATGTACCGAGTCAATTTATATTTTTTTGAAAAGCTCGTAAAAAAATTCATTTACGAGACTAACATGACAAACGCGCAGTAAGTGCAAACTCTACTTGTATAGAGGAGATATACGAAGATGTACATCACCACAGATCAAACCATCACTCATGGAATCGTACAATAAATACATACAGTACATGGTAGATGTAACCCCGCCTGACCAATATAAGTCCTATTACATATTTGCTAGAAAATCATGAAGTGGTGAAAGAACTTTTTTTGGCTGTTATTTGTCAATTACAACTAGAATATGACAATCGTCTCTGGTCTCTTCTTTATAATCACACGTATTCTAATAATTTGGCCGACAGCTGGTAGCACCTTTGGATTGGAGACTGTTAACGGTGACCCAAACACGTCAACTGAATAAAGCAGATCGACGAAATAAAGTTTACAACAAACGACAACATAAAATATGGTACTACAAGTAAGAATATCACAGCACGACAAAACAATTATGCGAATACGGCCAAGGATCAAGATGGCTACCGAAAAGCAGCGGTTTGTTCATCACAGAATTCTTGACCAGTCATAATAGGCTCAAGCGACTTGCTTGTGTCAAAAAAGCTTTCGGAAATCTATCCATAATGAATGGATTAATTATAAACGTGTACATGGATAAAAAGCGAGTAATAATTCGATGAGAAAACCATTTTACATTAACAGCAGTCATGTCATGGAAATGTTGCATTCGAAAAGGGTTAGTCCTTGGCCAGTAGTAGGCTCAAGATACTCGCTGCTTCCAAAGGAGCCCCCGGAAAGCAAAAGATATCTACAAAACAATGAATGAGATTGTCTGCGCATACATGGATAAAGGGCGAGTAATATCTTGTTTAAACGAAATTAAGATTTTCTCGTACCCTATACTTCAAGGCTGCTGCTCAGCGAGACGTGGAAAATAGGCTCAATAACAGCACTATGGTGCTTTTGATTGGGCAGTGGTATGTAAGTAAATGATCGGCTAAATCAGCGGTACTCAAGTACTAGACTCGGCGCTTAAGGTGGTAGAATGTTATTTACAACTTGGAAGAGAAAAAGCAACTGAAGACGTGGAGTCATGACGGCACCCTCAAATGTTGATGACGCACGAGCCTACGCCATCGTCCGACTTGGAACGCTGCTTAAATTTCTATAAAATTATTTGAATAGCAAGTGATGTAGACAAGGCTCGATCAAGATCGCCCGGTCGAATGGGGCAATTCTTGAATAAATTTAATATATATAGCATAATGCTCTTTAGTCATCAAATCCTTCAAGAAATGCTTGCTAGTATTATATCACCTAAATAAATTTTGCCACATTTTAATCATTCGTTACTTAAATCTACGATTTCTAGTCCACTGTTCTGATGCTACTGTGTGAAAGAACGTATGTTAGTGTCTACTTGAACATAACTTATTACTGTAATGAGTCAGTAGAGCTCTCAAATATTTAACAGTACTACGAACTGAATTTCCTGTTGCAGCTATGACTGGTCGCACACAAAGCCTCCACCACAAAGCACGGGACAAATATTTTTATATAAAAAGCCGACCTTATAAACCAACGTTGTCATAGAGAGAAATTTTAATTCGAAATTAACCTTAAAACGTCTTCCAGGTTCGACAAAGACATGCAGAATAATAAAGGAAGGTCCGTATTTGATGTAGAAATCAAGATAAATAATCACAAGGGAAGTTCATATAGATTATTCTATAACCTAGCGCAAAATCATGTGGCGTTTCACAGACCCATTGCGAAATGTACTAGTATGAGGTAAGTGTCAAATCAGAGTCGGATAAGGCGGAGATACCTATAGAAATTAGAAGCGTGGGCAATAAGGCCAACGCGGCCAACGAAAAACTACGGTGAGTCCGAATATCATTCAGTTCATTGATGCTACGATTAAGTTCAATAGTTGAATGTATATCTTGCTCGCGATTATTTTACAACTGATAGTAGTCGTCACTTAGTAAGCACATTCAAAGCATGGTAATATATATATACATTAATTTATTCCAAATGATTAGATCAAAAAACGATTGAAAGCGAGTTATCCGCCTTCCGTTTGAGCACTGGTACGAGTCAACTAAGTCGAATAATTAAAACCGGTACACAGCATCATACCAGATTAAAAACGACCCGAAAGGCATCGTTGCCACTGTGCGCGTGAGACAAACGTGTTCGAATGTTAACACCTAGACTTGAATATATTAAAATAAAACGATGTGAGAACACTAAATCTTATTTTAGTAATACAATATTGAAACTTATCTCATTTGTCACACTCACCTCTCCGCATCTTGCTGAAGTCTTGTTTCTATAAGTCTAGTTGTTGCGAATCTGCATCATCAGTAGGCTATCTCTTGTCAGCTTTAAAAAATATGAATTTGACATCATAACTCAAAAAACATGACATTTTGAAATAAAAAATAAATTTATCCGCCTTATTACCTTACATGCCACGAGCAAAGTGATCATATCGAATATCCTCTTTCAGCTTCCAGCTCCTACAAAACAAGGACGATTAAGTTATGTCATATAAACAGAACAAATCAAAATATTACAAAATACAAAGTATAGCATAATAACATAATTACCCGAACGTGTCCCAGGCCAATTCCTCACGAAAGCTGTATTTACGAACATCCGGAGCAAGCGTGCAACTGACTGAAATGAACGTTTGCCGGCAAGGTCGCAATCAAAAGAGACGGAACACGTGTAACGAAGGAATTATGGGTAATTGTGGTCGCCGGAGTCCACGAGAATGGCTACTACATTTGAAACGCATATAATGAATCATTCTATGTCAGGGTGGTCCAAACCCAGGCCCGCGGGTCACATGTGGCCCACTGCTCTATTATCTGTGGCCCGCGTCGCATTCGGAGAGTAACTAAAAATCGCATTTTGTGTTGTTTCGTAATAAAATTAATCAGAAAAATCTTTTGACATTTTGTTACATCATTAATGTCACTGAATTGATTAGTGTTATGGCTAGCTGAGGCAACTAGCAAAGTTGAATGACGTGTTTGGCAGTCTAAATTAATATCTGACTTTCTATCTTTTTTGTCGGGAATATATGCTAACAATATAGAAAACAATGATGACAACAATGACGAAAACAATATAGGCATCAAAATCGAAAGCGGATTTTATTAGCCTGGAATGGTTATTTCTGATAACTATGTGTTCGCCCCATAAAAGTGTTTGTTTGTATTGCACTGTTTACCTATTCTTGGCACTATTGTGGCCCGCAAACAATGCAAAAATAATTTGTGGCCCGCGGGGCCGACAACCTTGGACCACCCTGGCCTTAATGTTGGGATGGTTCGAAACTAATTGGTCGTTTTGCAAATATTGGTTGAGAGCGTCCGAAAACACCCAAAATAATCTTGTGCTGGAAGTATAGGCAAACTTTTCTGGGATCAAAGGTCTGGGAAAACCTTCATTGTGAGTGTGTGTGTGACGTGTGTGATACACGTCATCAAGGTCATATTTCGCATTATCCCACGCGCCACTGCTCTTATGCTTTCGTCTTCCCGGGGTATTTAACGCGCGCATAGACGGGCGTTCCTGATTGGACCGCTTTTATCGGATTACGCAAGACATCGGTATTGCTGGCGACGCCCAATGCAAGTGATGCGACTGTAACAGCTATTCCCCGCCAACTTACGCATTGAGTGGTGTACTCTAGCAACTGGTAACAACTGATTAACTGTGCCAGTCTATTCCCTTCATTTAACATTTCATTTTCTTGTTTCAGCCTAATATACATGACATAGGCATATATAGCATATTGTAAACTCATCTGTATCAAAATAGGTTAAATATTGTAAAGAGAATGCAAACCTATGATTCATTCTACGCAAAGATCAATCAAACAACTTTCTGGTCAGTACTATCAACTTTATATCTGCATTATGATTTTTTCTACTCAACCACAGGCCCATTCTGCTACAGGTTATTAGTTCAAGCCATTTCGCTGCGTATTATTGGATCTCCGCTATATCGGTTTTTCTGCCCTTCTTACCGGTTTTTCTGTCTGTCTGTGTGTCCAAGTTGTAGCGTCTAAACGGCTGAACCTATCTGGACGAAATTTCTCATGTGAGTTATCCTGTCAACCTAGTTGTGTGCGTTTAAATATACGTTTCCATGGCAACAACGAAAAAACGCGCCGATCGTTATGAAATTTCTAATTTTTTTTTTCAATTTATCACAGTAGTATGTGTACCAGGTCAGGGTTAGGCCATAATTGCATTCCAGTATTCCTTTTCTTAGATATAGTACGAATTCGGGGACTGTTATAGACAAGTGAATGCACTTCTTACCCATAAATGAAATGGTAGCAGACGTGGGGTTGTAATTATGGTTAATATATAGATGCTATTGTTGGTCATACTCCCCAAAATCTTACGTACAAAGCCCCTGCTACTAATGCAAAATTGTGAGATTTGAGAAAAAACGGCCGGCCACTTTTTAAAATGAAAAATAAGTAATTGTTTTCACCCTGGGTGTCGCTGCTTGATAAACAGCTTTGGTTCCCCGCGGCTTCCCTTCCCCAGTGAAATGTGTATTCAATATTATTTATTCGTCTTAATTTAGCATGTTAACTTTTTTACTGGATGGAAAAAATAAACTTGACTATGACTATCTAGTTAGGATTAAGGTTCGGGTTAGGGATGATTTGAATACCTAGCGAAGTCCATGTTCGTTGCCCTAACCCTAAATGGAGAATTATATTTTTCATATTCAACGGTGACGGGGGTGTTTCTTGGTGTTTATTTTACAAAATTGTTCTCAAAATACCCAAAGAATGCTATAAATATTTATTACCAAAATGTTTTATTGCAAAATACGTTTAATCAGTGGCGTAGCATCCACCCCCGCATCCCCGCGGGATATTTAAGCCGCAAAACCAAAAGCTGCATTGCAAAACCAGTAATGCACATCTTGTAACGTTGATGTTAGTTCTGCTCAAATCGTTTTGTTACGTAACAATGCCGGGGAGTCGTCGATTTTCGGCGTCTTGTGGTTTGATCGCACCGGCGAAATTGCGAAGGCTGTCAGAATGATGTCGGAAACAAAACCTCTCAGTGGCGCACAGAAACGCAGAAAAAGGACACAAAAGGAAGCGCGTATGAAAAAATATAGTAACCAAGATAAACGGCAAATTTTAGGTTACCATTGCTTTTTAATAGCGACATGTTATGCTTTTTGACGGAAGGGAAAGAAAGCGTTGTTTTAGATTATTACCGAGAGTTTTTAGGGTCATTTCCACGAAATATTTTGCGGGGGGGCCCTCGAGAGTCTTGCTACGCCACTGCGTTTAATAATAACTTGCAAATGTACATTTTCAATTCGAAATCAGCATCCAATCTAAAGTAGTTCTAGTTGTCTTCCTTTGCACACTTTCAAGCATAAAAGTTGATGTTTTTTTGGTGAATAATAATAATAACGGGGTGTTCATATGTTTCACAGATTTAAATGAAGTTTCAAAACTGAGTAGGCAACAGCGAATCTGCAATTCCTGGATCATACGATATTGTTTTATAATGGGCTATATTCTTCGGAGATCGCCGACTTTAAAAAGTAAGTAAGGTGGTCAGCATCGTGGGAGATGTAGTTTGGATCAGTGGTTCAAACAATAATCATCGCCCAACTCCCCCCCACCAATTCAACGAGGCATAAAGTTGCAAACAAATTTTTTGGAAATCAGTAAATTGGTACTAACGTAGTATGTGTACCAGGTCAGGGTTAGGCCATAATTTTATTCCGAATTTCCTATTACGAGTTCGGTGACTGTCTGTGTTAGCCAAGCGAATATCCATCCCGCTGCCTATAGGTTTTAGTTAGGTCCCTTCACACAACTTGATGTAAAGTAGGCAAACAAAATTAGTTACCTTCATATTGATGCACACACTTCTGGAGCACTCATAAATTAACATGCGTAAGTTAAAAGTTATATTCTCAACTCGAACTTATGTTCAGATCCTAAAGAAGTTCAATTGGGCATCTTTTTCATACGTTTCTTAGTTAATAATTATGACACTAAAAAGTTACTTGAATATTTAACAGATACCGAAGAAAGAGTATATAATACGACCAGTCTCAGATCGGATTTGAAATTCCTGTCATGCTCGTTTATGTTATGACGGTCTGACGAAATGTTTAGAAGATCGTCAAATACGTCATCCACTTTAAAAAGGTGATTGTTGAAACTATAAATCATTTTATTGAATTTCTCTTCATGCTGTCATAGTTTTGGTCAAAAAAATAGCTTAACGAAGTGAACCAACACCCAAAATGAATTATTTTTTACATATTCATTGAATAAAAAAAATCATAAATTGATTGTTTTATCAGTCAGTCAGTCACTAGTTTTATTTTATCACATACCGAAAGTACACAATGGACAAATATAATTACAAAACATATATATAAAAAAAATACTTTCGGTGTGAAAGGAGACGCGATAAACCAGTGAAGGTTATCTAGCAGCGCCACCTATGTTTTATTTTTATTTCCATACAAAGAACACCCTATATCGGAATATCTAAGAAGACCGGCGACGATATTGACCGATTAAGGTAAGATACAACATTTGCTATCCATGGAAATCAATGTCCTTCGTATAACACTCCCTGTGTTCCAGACTTCTAAATATTATTTTCTGATTGGTTACGCCCCAAAGCCGAAAAAAATGATTAATTTTTTTAAAGGGATGGGAATTTTCTTGAAATCGGGTTTTTACAATATAAAATAGCGTAAAACTTTCGCCATAACATAGTCTGGTGCTAATTTTTAGTGTTTTTGCTTAATTGTGCTCCCCGGGAGAATGGAGCAACGCATTCAATATTTACAAAGGTAATCTAAAAAGTTAAATTTTACGTGTTGGAATCTCTGTAGTTTAAATCCAAGACGTGGAAGTTGTTTATATGCTGACAAGCAAATATATTGATTGAATACTTTTTAACTTTATTAATTTTTTAAATCATTTTTATTATTTGTATAGATTTGCACCGCGGAGGAATGATCTATGAACACTATTTTGCGATTTACTCATCGGAAAATAAAGTATTCACGGGAACACATTGGTAAGCAAATTTTTAATCCTTATAGGAGACATAACAGAACGGCACAATGTGAAGTAACTTGAAAAGTTATTCTAATCGTATATTCTCGAAGCCCTTTATTAAAACAATATATTCACAGAAGTATGTAAAGAAGCATTTAATGTTTACGAATGTAATCTCATGAATTCATTTTGACGTGTCGTAATCTTTGTAGTTTAAATTGAAGATGCGGAAGTTGTTGGTGCACACAGGAAACTAATTACTTCTACTGTATGTTTAGAAATTGATTTTTTCAACCCTATTCTTTGTAGATTGTTATATGGAGAAGTATTCATCAGCATTATTGGAAGAGTGACTTCAATCGTATTCTCAGAATCTAAAGTATTCATCAAGACTCTTGCTGAAACACATTGGTAAGCAAATATTTAATCATTTTAGACATGTTAAAGCGAATATGTAGTAAATCGGAAATATTTTGAATATAATAAATAAATATAATAAATACATCGATTTCAGTGCATTAGTAGCGGTACAGGTAGTTTGTTATAAACTGCGTTTTTCTATTGTTCAGCGTGATGACAGTAGCGTTGTGAAACTGTGGTTAACATCAAATCTACAAATTGTCGTTTTGGCAAAGACTGAAACAGGTAACAAATTCATTAATATTTATTTTGTTCGCCTAGTTTGCAACACATAACAATGGTCTGTAGAGATTTGTAGAAATAAGGATGTGCGGCAGTCGACCCGCGGCTCCCAAGCCATTTAGTGTGATCCTCCTCAACACCCACTTTCCACCCACATTTTCCCCATTGCATAAAATCCGAATCCAAAGTTAATGTATAAAAATTCCTCACGTGGGTAAAAATAAATAATGTTTTTTTGCTCTTGTCTCTGCGTTAAATCTTTTGTAATTTTGTTCAGTGTCTTTATTACACCTAAGCAACAGCTGCATTTTCTTTTGCAAGAAAAAAAATCTGTGGGACCCGGCTAGAGACTGGTTGGGTATATCATGGCCCAGGAACGAAAATGTTGCACCCCCTGGTCTAAAACAATTTCAAATTCTCAAATAATGCTGGTCACTGGACCTTGTGTATTAGTGTCATTTGTTGTTTATTGTATGTTAATAACTAAGTCAAAATTTATGTAATATCATGTTTCTTTGCAGGTCGATCGCATTGCAAGACATCGATGCGATTTGTCAATACAGCAGTCAATCCCGATCTCAACTGATTTCAAGGTTCAGAAACTATATAACTGACACTATTGAGACCGTCTAAAATAAATCCAACACTTCGAAACTATAAAAAACTGATCAGCACCCCTTCAGACTGATTATTTGAATTTTGAGAAGACTATAAATGCAAACTAGAAACTTTAACACCGTCCGACTCTAACTTTCCGAAACTGATTGGTACCCCTTAGACTCATTCTGGGCCTTTTCAGCAGACTATAAATGCGCCAAACTCTAGAACTTTGTTGCACAAACTAGCAAAAACTATTAATGGATTTTTCTTCAATAATTTGATCTGATATTGATATCAAATGAATTCAGGAACTGATTATTACAGAATATGGATTCCGAGGCTCAAGCCGACTTTCAACACTGTTTAACTTAGAAACACTGTCATATGCCGCATTATACTATTAATGCTGTCTAACTTGAAACTATGATCAGTGCATTAGGTTAAGGCATTAACAGTGATTCAATTAATTTGTATTGAGCTATCTTACCACAAGTGTTACACCCTGATCTTACGCACGCTCCCAACTTTGCGAAGATTGTTGAAATGCTTAGAGACATAAGCTATTATTAGCTAATGCTCTAAATGTAAATGGACCATGGTTTTGTAGAACCCTGTATTATCAATATTATGTAAAGTTTATTATTATGTATTCAAATCTGTACAATATTTTAATAAGAGTGTATTATTATGATTTTGATTTATGGTTTTCTTTTTACAATTACGTTTTCGTCGTTTTTTGAAATTGCTTTGGGTTGGGCTATTTATACGAAGTTAGATGATGATGAAAATGATATTTGCCCAACTCGTTGAAGTATCAAGCTCTTGTGTATGGTTTACAGCAATTTTATTTGTCTGTTGATTTCCGTCAACCTTCGAAATATGTTACAAAGCAACGACTACGTAGGTTCAAACCGATAATTATTATTAAATTTTGAACACCTTTGCCTTAGCTATCGTTCATATTTTTTGTTCTTTTTTAGAAGAATCGTATTATTCTAACTTTGCATTGTCAATATTATGTGAAATTTGATTTTATATATTTAAAATATGGCCTATTTTATTTTATGCAATATACAACTAGATGATTTTGCTTAATGGTTTTTGCCGTACAATTTAAACTTTGTGTTTTCGAAATTTTTTAAAATTGCTGTAGGGTTGAGGTGGGCTTAGTACACGAAGCTATCCAACATTTTTTTCTGTGTGTTGATTAGAAGCCTCAGACCATAAAATGTCACAAAAGCTTTGTATAAGATCATTCAGATTCCAGTCGCAAAACCAATCAGTTACTTCTTTATTTGAACATCTTTGCATTTGAGATCATATTGTGCTGCTTTGCTTTTATAAGTTATGTGTGTTGCTTTTTGTTGACAAGTATCATTTGTGCACAGAATAGATCTGTATACTAGTTTTCATATGTTTTCCAATGTTTAATGTTTTGAATCTAATTTCTTTCTTCATTAGACAGTAAATATTGTTGCCAAATGTTACTTTTCTTGAATATGCAACTTGTTTGGTTACCTACTTCATTTATTTAAATTTACCTGATTTTCTCTTTGCAATGTGTTGATCGCTTTTTTTAATTAATGTTAATTGCTGTAGGGTTTGGGTGGGCTCTTTAACACATCAGCTGGAATTAGTGTCCAGTTGCATGAACTACAGCAATTTAACTTAAATTGTGTCTTGTTACTATTCATTTGATTGAATAAAACTGTCTTGTTATTTTTTTTAATTCAATGAAATTACTGAAAATAAAAAATAACATTGGTGTGATATTTGTGTTATCTAGATTGGGCTCTTAGTTGATCTTTATCATGGTGCGGCAGACAGACATATTACTTTTTTGTGACATGAGTAGTAAATAAAATGACAAGATTACTCTTGTTTCATCACATATGTCTATGCGAGGATGGGGTGGGTGGGTTTTTTACAAAGAGCTTGAAACGATGTGAATATATAAAAAGTTGAGCGACTTTCTGAAGACTTTCTGCACCTTTCTTGAGGGGTGCTTGCGTATTATTCCCCTTGTATCACGACCAAGAAAAGGGACGCCATATTGCAAATGTGGTCGTGCTATGATTTATGCTTGTTTTAGAAGTGGAAACAGTCAGCTAAAATCTCTATGAACTTAAATATTTACTCCGATAGTGTTCTTGCGCTACTCATTCCAACTTTTTAATGGTCATATCTTTCATTTATGACAAACTATGTCAATTTGATGCATACTATCATGTGGAAACAGTCGGAGCTAATGCGGTTTTGGTTGCTAAGGTTTGTGGGTCTGATATATCGAAGAAGTGCGGCATGAATGACCGTGGTGTAGCAAAGGTCACTTCAGTGGACACGCGCCTTCACAATTTTGCATTACAAATTAACTTTGAAAATTAGTAGGCTAATGTCTGTTGTAATATCAAAACGAGAAGTCGCATGCCTGATGGTTTGGAAAAACGATGTTCAATTATGATAAGCATATTCTTGAAGGACTTCGGCAAAAGTGCGTCATCTTTGTAAATAAAATTGCAGTATTTCTAACCGTTAATAGGCAATAGTGATCTGTTAAAAATGAACTATTTTTGGCAGGCACAGGGTACGATCACCCAGAACAGCGGTGTGCAACAGTCGGCCCGCGGGTTGATTTTTTCTCAACCAAGCATGAAATCCGACTCCGAGGGTCTATGGTTAAAAAGTCGCTAACGACTGAAAAATTATATATTTTTTTGGTCTTGTCGCTGCATCAAATTGTTTGCCGTTTTACCAAGTGCCCTTATTACTAGAAGGCCATACAATAGCTTCATTTGCTTTTCTCGCCTTTCCCACATGGAAAATTCTGAATTTTTTTGTGCGATCCGGCTAGATGTCTGAAGTTGGTTTATATGGCTCACCGGAAAAAAGTTTTTGAAGGATTAATAATTGTTATTGGCTCGATCTGTAGAATATACTAAAAACCGTTACTGGACCTGTGTTGCCATCGGTTTAATGTTGTGTTACCTTCACATGATAAATCTTTTCTGAAATTTTGTAAAGTTTTTCGTGGTCAAAGTTGCTAATGTTTTATATACAAAATGAATGAAGTCGGTTTTTTTCATATTGCACTTTCTTTTCTCTCTTTAACGTTTCTATTATTATTTTAAAGGTTTGTAGAAAAAGAACTTTACTTGAAGTGTAAGTAGTGATGGGAATAATGCTTTGTAATCATTAACCCTACATATATGGAAGATATCCTCCTGAAGGATACACAGAAGCTTTTATAATTTGTTAGTAACATATTGAAATCACATGTAAACAATATATTATGTGATAGTCTACTCTATTTTTAAATATATTATATTTAATATTGACTATAAAATAGGGTTCATAACGGGAATTCAGTCTACGTTTGTACAACTCAGCGAAATGACTTTTGCAGTTGAACTGATATATAATAGTCTTTATTTCTGAAATATTATGAATATCGACAAGGGTATATGAAAGATCTCAATCTTCTATTATAAATAAGGTTAAATGGCAAATTTCTATATATTCATTAAACTGAATCAAGAACACTGAAAAATAAGAATTTATTGGGAAATGAGATGGATTATTGATTAAACAAAAAAAGAAAACAAAATCGGAGCACGACAAAACCGCTCCAATTTGCAGTTACTTTTTAACTTGAGAGGGGAAATATACAATTAAGAGGGTAAGATTTTTTTTCTTCAAGAATCTTAGGCTTTCTAGCATCCTCGAGGAGGACATACCAGGAAAATTCTCACAATACATGAAGAGTTTAAAAAAATGCTAAAATCTATTGAATGCCAACGATGATACAAACATTTTGAAGTGTTTTTTTATTCCAATTTATTTTTTGATAGATAGATGTTCACCAATTAAATTATTCACCAAACCATGCTATATAATGTCGAGTGCAAATTGAATTCGGTCGACAACCTAAAGCAGAAAACATAGGTATGCTTCGCGCCTAGTCGACATGTAATGATAAGTCGCATACAGAGTGGGGTATGCAATTTTAAATTCCACATGAATAATTACCCGCTAAAGGTTCTATATCCCCAAGTTGGGGTCGGAAATTTTGACTAAAATTAAGAAAAGAAAATAAACGCCAAATTTTTCAAAGTTAAATCTTTATAATCCACGGCTTGGGAGAAGAAAAGTGATTTAGACATGGGCAAACTACTGCCCGCGGGCTAAATTCGGCCTGTTGGGTAATTCAATCTGGCCTGCCCGATGCTTCCACAACCAAACTAAAACCAAATTTTGATGTTTTAGATAAAAATATAGCTCAAGGAACTTGTTGAGATTGCGATTAAATTTAGTTTTAGCACGAAGATTGATTTTTCTTTTTGCTTTTGTAACACTGTAAATATTGTTCAAAAAATGTAACTCTTTACGTCACACTTACATGGCCCGCAAGTTTGGGTTGACGAAATTTTTGGCCCGTGCATAAAAAACCTTGCCCACCCCTGTCTAGATGGTCAGAATACAATAGACCTGTTATGGAAGATATATTTCGAATCAACATGGCAAGTTGATAATATTTTTATTTCCGAATTTAAAAAATTACCCAAATTAAACATTTAAAACTCGAAAATTTCGCACCTATACCCATCATTATGCAAAGTAGTTATTTCTGCAAAACAAAAAACTCAGATAATCAGATAACAACGTTGGTTTTTATTACAGAATAATAGAACTGATATCAAATGGCAATAAGTTTTATGGCTTGTTTTTCATTTTTACACAATCCTCCACATCTACATGCTGTGTTCCTATATATTTTTAAAGGGGCCTAATTCCTCTGATTACGCATATTGCATTTAACGCTATGACAATAGCCTCAACAAATAGCTTACTTAACATTGTCATTGATATAGATTTCTTAACACTACCTTAATAAACTCTCAATAAATTTTCAACAGCAATTTCGAATTAGGAATCAATGATTTATAACAGGGCTACTCAACTATTTTTACCGAAAATCCGCATACAAAACTTCAAAATTATTTAGGTCCGGTTTTTCCAGAAATTATATTTCGGCATCCTTAAACGCGTATTTCCTCGACCGGCTAATGATTATTAGCTAATCAAGATTGTTTATTATGGTGTTATAGTTATTTACATATCTATTAAAACTATAAAAGTCATTTTATAAAAAGTGGGGCGGGCTAATGATCCGCAATAAAGAAATAGCGTAGGTGCGGTCCGAATCAAATACTCGAGGGTGCGAATTCGGACGCGGTTCGCCAGTTGCGTAGCCCTGATTTATAAAATATAATAGATCAAGAAGAACAGAGTGTAACCAGGCAGACGTTTCATTATATCTTAATCTCACAAATAACTCCACGAAGATTCCAAGAAGAAGAACCATTCATCATCCCTTGCAATCTCACGTTGGAATGATCATAGAGAAAAACATTTGTTTCATCTTTGTAATCGGATGGAGAACTCGGACGCCATTTTATAAATGAATCAGCAGGTGTGACGTCACGAGTCTAGAAACAAACAATAAAAATAGTTAGATGAAGATTATCATCGGATTATGATTGATCAACTGTAACTTTCACTAGTCTCTCAAGTGCAGCCTATCTCCGTGTGATTTCACAATTATTATAAATAAAAAAAAAGAGAGTTATGCTCAAGTATATAGACACGTAGACCATTTCGCTAACTTTCGAAAATCATACCACATTCCACTGTTCGGCATAAAAAACTTCCTAATTTCGCTAAGCACTAGAAGTGACTACTAGATCCAGCTGCAAAGGCAGAGCACGGAATCAGCTGATGTGCATCCGCAGAACGTTCGGTGACGTCATAGCAAAGAAAAACGAATCCCACAGAGCTAACAGAAATATTTAAATGAAAAAAATAGCCTTCTAGAAAAAAATTCCATCTTTCACCTTTGAAAATTTTGAAACTTGTCTAGTAATCAAAGAGAAAAGCGACTTTTTAAGTTTTTCACTAGGTGTCCAAAAATAATGCAAAAGAATCGTTATGTCCACTAACGTGTCCAAAAATTAGATGAAGATTATCAATGGATTATACTTGATCAACTGTAACTCTCACTAGTCTTCAGGGGCCTAGGGAAAAAATTTCAAAGGGGGGCGGGCGGAAACGTGTGTTTCCATGAGTCCTGCGGGTCTAAAAAGCGTTAGAGCTACGAAAAATTGATATGTATAATACAGTTTGTTAAAAATGTTTTTATTTTTACATTTTTAAAGTGGGAGGGGGGGGGGGATACTTCCAAAACCACTCCCTGGCTACGTCCCTGCTAGTCTCTCAAGGGCAGTCTATCTCCATGCGATTTCACAATTATTATAAAAAATAAAGTCTGATGTGGATATTCGTTATCACCTTGTAGACGTGCGGGCACTTCAAATGCATTTTGTCTTCTCATAGCTGTCAAGTAAAACTTTATATTCACGCTGCATGGGATTGACTTGTCCAAAATTATTATTATAAATTTACTTTATTAGGATATTTGTTATCACTTGTACGGACGTAGGCATTTCAAACACATGGTATTTTTTACAGTGACCCCTGTACCCAAAGAATCTGATGTGTTAGAAATGTTAGAAGAAATGTTAATTTAAAAGCAAATAAATAAAAACTGATTATGAAATCAGGAGAGTAGAAATAAACCTTGGATAAGATTTAAAACGTACAGAATATAAGATGGAAGGTAATGCCAAAAGAAGTGGTACGTGCCCACTCACCTAAGAATATTAAATCAAATCATAGACACTCGCACACACACACACAACATAGGGCATTAAATA